GTGGGCCCTCCCTGGCACAGTGAGCTGGGAAAACAGGACAGCATGAGGTCCAGTGAAATTTAACTACATGGATATATGGGCTATCTGAGAATTTCTTATTGTTGAGTTTTGTATACTAATTCAAAAAACACCAAACCCAACTTAAAGACAGCAAAGAGTATTTCCAGAACCTTCTTCATGCTTCCTAGAGTCAACCCCTTACACAAACCTTATGGCATCACACCCCTCATCAGCTCATTGAGGCAACTGGAAGAATCCACAGCTGCTTCAGAAAACAGATGGTCCCTAAGGAAGCATTCAGAACTCTTGGATATGCCTGGTCTCATGGAATTCCAGCCCCTGGGTACCATGGGGATGTGAGCTGAAGCAATATAGGCTTCCCTGATCCCTCTTTGTGTCGAGGCCAGCAGCCTCCTGCCTCCTGCCCTCCCAGGCAGGTACAGCGCTATGCAAGTCTATCCATGTTTGTTTCCAGCTCCTCAGGAGCTAGGTAACATTCCTTGGGGATGGGTGCAGTGGCTCACACCTGTAATCCCAGCACTTTGGGAGGCCAAGGCAGGCGGATCACCTGAGGTCAGGAGTTCAAGACCAACCTGGCCATCATGGTGTGACCCCATCTCTACTAAAAATACAAAAAATTAACCGAGGGTGGTGGCAGGCACCTGTAATCCCAGCTACTCAGAAGACTGAGGCAGGAGAATCGCTTGAACTCAGGAGGCGGAGGTTGCAGCAGAGATCATGCCATTGCACTCCAGCCTGGGCAACAAGAGTGAAACATAAGCAAATCAAGTCTCAGCATCAGCCTGAGAATCTGAAGGTAAATGTGCGACCCAGGATTTTGCAACCTCGGCACTACTGGCATTTTGGGCCAGATCATTCTTCACTGCAGGAGACTGCCCTGCACCCAGTAGGATGCTTAGCATCCAGGCCTCGACCCTCTAGATACTCCTTTTGCCAGATACCCACTGGGTGCAAAATTGTGCCAGGCTGAGGACCACTGGTGCAAATTTAACTACAGTAACTGTTCTGTGCTACTCTCAGATCAGAAAAAGATGAAGCTACTGTCTCCAGCATGGGGCTGGCATGCTCCAGCTGGCCCTGCTGTCTCATAGGTGTACTCAGTTAGAAAGTATACCCCAGCACCATACCAGGCACGGTGGAGGAGCCAGAAGCAACCTCAGATGTGGTCCCTATTCCCTCGAAGCTCATAGTTCCAGGGGACAGAGTGGTAACACCTGTAGCAAAAGTACTGCTACAGAGCAATGGGGAAAGTTGTGTCTCTTGTCCAGTGATGACCTGCACTGAGGAACCGCACAGCAGGCAGGGGAGGGACACATAGGTGAAGCCCAGTCCAGCTGAGGAGAGAAGACGCAAAGCAGAGAGTGCAGGTGTCAGGAGACAGCAGACGCGCGCTGCAGGCATTCCGACGGCAGAGAGTGGCAGGTGCTCCTGCCCAAGGATGGCCTGGTGGAGCCATGTCTAAGCCGAGCCAGGTATGGAAGGACAGGTAGGCCCCTGCATTCCAGGCAGAGGGACAGGCAGGGCAAAGGCCTGAAGGCTGGACGCTCAGCCTGTGTGAAGAGAACTGTGTGCAGCAACACCAGGAACACTTCGCAGCTTTGCACACAGAGCCAGCGTGGGCTGCAGGGGCCCTGAGATGATCCCGCCAGACCCAGGGAGTCAGGAAAGCCTGGGTAAACTGCAGAGTGTCAGGGCAGGGGTGAGGGGTTTGTCAGAGCCCATGACCTCCCCTAGCTGAATCTTGATGATCTGGGCCTGTCTCACCGCCTCCTGGGTCCGTCACACCTGCCCAGGTGAGGCACACACCTGCAGCCTCTCTGCTGTGGAAGCTGCTGCCTGGAACCAGCACCTGTGCCCACCAGCACCCAGCCTTAGTGCCCTTGAAGCCCCAGGCCCGCCCTCAGTCCCCTCCTAGGCATCTTTACACACTGAAGCTGGAGAGGGCTATCCCCACACACCGCCGCCCCTGCCGAGCGCCTTCCCCTCCTCCCGACCACTCCAGCAAGTCAGAGAGCCTGTCTGATGCCTCCGAACAGGCCTGTGGAATAGCATGTACTGCCTTATCCAGCCACTAAACCAACAGGCGAAGTTCAGTCATCTCTGCCTCCCCATCCTCCCTGTTCCCCACCCTGTCTTTAATAGCAACTGGGGCAGTGACTTACCCCAAGAAGCAGCATGACACTGCCAGCTATCCAGGAGTATCCTCTGGGCCTGACTCACAGCCCACGGTGGTGATGGAAAGAAGGAAGATGTTGAAATGCCAGGATGGACCCTCCTAGCTGCCAGCAGCCTGGGTGTTCCTGTCAGTTAGGGGCGCTCCATCACCTCTTCTTCCCATGCCCCAGTGGGCTCTGGGAGTGACTAGCATCAGTGCCTTTAGGTCCTGTGCAGTGGGAGGGAGTCGGCCTCAGCACCGTAGTTGGGGGTGGTGGAGGGAAGTTTGGAGCAAGCAGGAGGGGCATGCATGTCAGAGAGGAGCTGCAGGGCCCAGCAGCGTGTGGCAGGGGAGGGCCTTCTGGGTGGGGTCAGTGTGAATGTGTAGCCATGTTCTGTCCGATGGGCTGAGCGGCTCACAGGGGACCACACCTGGCATGGGCTGGCTGTGCCTGCCACTGGCTGACAAGGACCACACCCCTCATGCTGTGTTACCTGGAGCTCTGGGAAGGCAGGAGACAGGTCAGATCACTGGAAAGCACATTTCCCCCTCATTGGGTCCTCATTGGCCCTAAAGTTTGCATCCTACCCGAGGGGACCAGAGAAGGCTGAAATCCAGCCCATGCAACTCTTGCTGAGCCACGTTTTTCTAATTTGCACCAAAGCATTAGCAGCCACCCAGCTAGAGCCAGCATGTGGTGGAGACTGGACCCAACCCAAGTTCACGGACATTTCCCCCAGCCTTCCTCAGTGTCAGGCCCTGCTTCCCAGAGGCTCCTCAAGCAGAGGGACCATCCACAGACCCTCTCTTCAGTCTCCTGCCTCAGCTTACCCTGTATACCACTCAGTACCACACACAGACCCAGGGCCCTGGCCTGGGGCCCTCCTCCATCCACACTCCTCCCCAGGGAGTGGAAAGTCCATAGGGTGGAGGGAATGTGCCCTTGTGGAATCTGCAACTCCCTTCCCCACTTCCTGACCTCCTAGCGGGGACCCAGGAGCTTAAATCCTCTGTCCAGAAGACCTGCGCCTGCATGCAGCACCTGCAAGCATGTCCTGAGGCTGACTAGACCCCTAGCACGTGTGCCCCTAGCCTGCACCACACCCAGCCCTCTCCACACCCCTGGCCAACAGGCATCTGACCCTGGGGAGGGGCAGACAGGGCTCTCGGCTGGAGGTTTTCCTTGGTGCAGCGAAGAGCCTGGGGTAGGAAAGGAAGGGGCAGGGACCTTGCTTTTGTGCTCTTGGCCCAGGCCCCATAAATGATGGGGCTAGGCCTGACGCTGTTATTCTGAGGCTGGAAAGTCTCCCTGTGTCCGTGACTCTGGGAGATTATAGGACACAGCAAAATTGTAATGAGGAGGGGGGTAATTCACTTCTTTTGAAAGGAAGCCTTGCTCTCAGGCACAGTTCTTTCCCTGTGAAAAGAAATGGCCCCTCTCCTGTATTCCTTAATCCCTGCCCATGCCAGGCTCACTGCTGAGTGGTGCAGGAGATGGTTGGGTGAGGCCCATGGGCCCATGAATAAGCGTTGCCCCTGAAATGCCCAGCAGCCCCTGTCTGTCCTGGGCACCACCACCACCCACCACCATATCCCCTCTGCCCACACTCCTTTGCCTGCTGAGTGAGCCCTAGGGTCTCAGTCTCACCCACAGGCTGGGTCTTCCCTAGAATCCAGCCATCTCAGGGACCATGGGTAGCTGCCCTGCTGTGGCTGGGTGGGCAGGCAGTGCCTGGGGCAGCCCAGGTCGGAGGTGCTTATTAGTCAGGCTGAGCTTCCCCGCAGTGGGGCCAATTTCGATCAGCAGTGCTCCCCCTCTCTTCTCTTCCCTTGTCCCTGTCTGGGAGCTCTGTGGCTGCCTGTAGCTGGCTTCATCCCTGCTCTTCCAGGGTGGGGAGAGAGGGAGGCCCAACGTGCTTTCTAGACCTGTTGCTCCTGCAAGCAGAGTTGGTCGAACAGGATCCCAGGAGCCTCCCTGACTGTGCAAGCCAGTGGGGGAGTGAGAAGGAAGCAGGGCCCATGTCCTCCTACAGGTCACACTTGAGTGCAGGGCTGGGAAGCCAGCAGCAGCAGCAAGGCTGTGAGTGGTGGAGCAGGAATGAGAACTCCTGCAGGGGCATGAAGGACGGGAAATGGGCATTGGGGCTGAAAGACAACACAGGAATCACCTGCCTTCCCTGGACCTCTGATTTGCTTTTTCCTAAGGCTTGGTTGCCAGAGTCCACCCTGGTCCCTGCACTCCAGCTACATGGGCATTCTCCACTCCCTGAAGGCAAATGCCCCATGCTTCCTGCAAACTCCAGGCTTTTCACTTGTCCTCCCTTCTTCCTAGAATGTGCTTCCCTCCTTCACTTAGCAAATGCCTGTTCAATCCTTAAAGATGTTACTTAGGTGTCACCACCTCCAGGAAGCCTTCTCTGACTGCCCACCCTACCAGGAACCTCCCACCATTTCTAGAGCGTACCCCATAGTTGCATTTGTAACACAGCATTGCAATCACTCATCTGTCTTCCCACCATCAATAACGTTGAGAGTAATAGTTGTCTTACTTACACTACCTGGCATCTGGCATCTGGCATCTAGCAGGTATTTAATACCTGTTGGGTGGATGGATGCATTACTGAATTGTCAGCTGACCAAAGAGGGAAGGAGTAAGTGGGGAACTTGGTGCCAGCAGCCAGTGAGGCTAGTACGGCCAGGAGGAAGATGGCATGGTTGATAGGGGTCCCGGCAGGTATCTCTACTGCCCCCACCACTGTAGGGAAACATCTGTCATAGCAGTGTCCCAATCCCAGTGGTGACCCTCCTCTCTCCTTGCTCCTAGTATTTCTGCCTGTTGCTCGTCATCTTCCTGGTTGAACTGGTGGCGGGAGTCTTGGCCCACGTGTATTACCAGAGGGTAAGTGACATTTCCTCCTCCTGCATCCTCTGTCAGTGCCCTGAAGAAGCAGTGTGGGTGGGGAGGTTTGCACTGTGATGAGGGAAGCTGAGGCAGGCGCAGGGGTGGTCCTGTTTCCCAGGCCCCGGCAATCCCCCCGCACACCTGCATCCCGGCTCCAGCAATTCTGTGCTGCATCTGTTGATGCTGATGTCTTCCATGTGGGAGCTGGGGACGGGAGTTTCCCATGGGACATTGGCTCATCCTTCCCCACTTCCAAGGATGGTCTAGAGGATGAATCCATCTGTCAGAGACATCCAAGAAGAAAGGCCTGGGCCAGGATCACATGCCAGACCCTGAACAGGATCAGGCCTTGCCTGCCTGGCTTGGACAAGGATGGAGTGTGTCCCATCCACTCCCCACTTGAGCCCTCTGAATCAGAGATTTGAGGTCACGACTGGGGTAATGTTTGGCCGGTAGAAAGAGTGCAACCCTGCTGGTTTTTCAAGCCAGTGCTTGAAATTATAATTTTTTTTTTTTTCCTTTGAGATGGAGTCTTGCTCTGTCTCCCAGGCTGGAGTGCAGTGGCATAATCTCAGCTCACTGAAACCTCTGCCTCCCGGGTTCAAGTGATTCTCCTGCCTCAACCTCCTGAGTAGCTGGGATTATAGGTGCCTGCCACCACACCCACCTATTTTTTGTATTTTTTAGTAGAGACGGGGTTTGCCATGTTGGCCAGGCTGGTCTCGAACTCCTGCCCTCAGGTGATCCACCTGCCTCAGCCTCCCAAAGTGCTGGGATTACAGGCATGAGTCACCACACCCGGCCCAACTGTAAATATTTTCAGTGTCACCTCATGATCACAGTTAAGATCAACAGACATTTTAAAGCACCCTATGTCTGGCCTCACTGCCACTACCCACCAGCTTCTGGATGTGACCCTTTACCTGAGCCGTCTCCCCAGCCTCTCAGCTCTGTCCGTTACACCTTTGCCCTAAGCAGGGGCCCGGCTTTTGCAACCTCCTCTCCATGGCCGTCTTCTGCACTGTCTCTGGCTGATGGTCCCTTCCACTGCTGAGAAACCTCTGCATCATCGCATCATCTGCAGTCCACAGTATTCTAGAATTAGCTGGGGAGGCTTGGGAGTGGGCCTGGTGCCAGGGCAGGGTGGGGCTGGTCCCATTGATGGCACCTTCACTCCCGCCCTCCTCAGCTGAGTGATGAACTAAAGCAGCACTTGAACCAGACTCTGACCAAGAACTACGGGCAGCCGGGAGCCACGCAGATCACCGCCTCAGTAGACCGGCTCCAGCAGGATGTAAGCCGTGCCCCACATGGCCTTGAAGGCCAGGCCCACATGGGTTCAAACACTGACTCTGTTCTTTCCTGTCTGTGTGACCCTAGGGAAGTTACTTACCCTCTCTGAGCTTCAGATGTCACATCCTAAAAATGAAGCCTCTTTAGGGCATATGAGCATTAAATATGATCACATCTGTAGATGTCCTCACCCGCCATGAAAAGTACCTGCTGAAGCCCGGTTCCTCTCCTTCCCCGACGACCTCCTCCAGATCCCACCCCTTCTGCCTTCCCATTCTGGGGCCTCTGGGGCCTCTCTGGCCAAGAATCTGTCTGTGCCAGGAGAACTCCATCTCCTGCCAAGATCTGGGCCAGGAAGCTCCTCCCCAGCCTGCTTCCACCCGTAGGGCTGCCTTCCTCCTTCCTCGGAGAGCTGGCTGCTGCAGTTCTATAAGAGTGAGCTGTAGCCAGCAGAAGAATTTCAGTTACACTGCCCCAAAACCTTCCAGTGCAAACCATCAGGCAGAATGCTGGGGGACAGAAAGCTTTTCTCCTTTCCAAGAAGAGTCGCAGCAAATCTGTCCAGGGACACCCACTGGCCTGACCAGACGCAGGGGACACGAGCAAATGGACCTCAGAGCTGTCCTGTCCAATACGGCAGCCACCACCACCCACATGTGGCTGTTTCCAGCTCGGTTAAATACAACATTCAATTCCTCAGTCACACCAACCGCATTTCCAGTGCTCGTTAGCCCATGTATCCAGTGAGCTCCAATTGGACAGCACAGACAGATGTAGGACGCCGCCTTCATTGCAGAACGTTCTCCTGGACGGCGCTGCTCAGGATCCAGAAGTGTTCATGTCAGATAATTCGAGGCAGTGCCCCCTGCCCACTCTGGTCCCCCTTCTCTCTGCCACCCCATTCCTCACCCCCACTCCCTAGACCTGAGGCCTTGATCTTGCCCCCCGGGAACGTCAGGCAAGTAGCGGAAGTAGAAGTACCAAGCTCTGAGCCCCAGGGGCATCATGACTCAGGGCCCCTCCCATCTCTCCAAGACACTGGCCCAGCTCCCAATGGGGGCTGCACGGAGGAGTCTCTTCTCTGAAATAGTGGCCTGGGACCCACATGTACACGCAAGTGCATGCCCACAGGTACACTTGCACCCATGGGCTCAGCTCAGGACCAAGATGAGGCAGCACACACTGCTGGTCAGCCCTGTACAAACTAAGTGTGCACTCCACCCGCTGGGCCTCACCTATGAGGAACTGTGCTAGAAAAAGAGGGAACAGGTCAGGATCCCTGCCCTCAGGGAAGCTGGACACACAGCAGTCAGTGCAAGGCTGGACCACCCTCAGAAGAGAGAGCAGGGGAGGTGGGGAGGCCGCCATGGAGCAGAGGTGGGGTTTGATTAAGTGAAGAGGATGGGAGCAGCAGGTCAGGGCTAGGGGCAGATGAGGAAAGGCACAGCTAAGAGCGGAGGCTGGGTCGCTGATGGAGACCTGCAGGGCATCTGTGCATGCAGACACCGCCCTCATATAGGCCAGGAACACTTAGAACCCCAAGCCACGTCTCAGCCAGGAGACCAAGCCCCGAGAAAGCAGTGGCTGCAGAGCCAGGGCCAGCACTGGGCCCTCCAGCAGCGCCACGTGGATGTAAATGACAGACACACGATGCTGTATTCACACAATAGTGATGGTGGAAGTAAGCGTCTCTCCTTCACCACTGACTTGGCGGCAGGCTCTCTTCTAAGTGCTTTATGTGAGTCACCTCTTTCAGTCCTCACAACAGCCTGGCATGGGGGTACTTTTGTTGTCTGCACTTTACAAATGACACAGCCATCCGGCGAAACCAGCACAGATGGGCAGAGTCACGTGGAATGCGCAGTTCCCCCGTGACTCCTTGTGCACGCTGTGCCTGTCTCCGCGCTGTCTGTGTGCCGTCAGGCTCTCCTCAACTCCTGGGGCCCCTGTTCACCCTGTGGCTCTCTCCTGGCCCTGGACAGAGCACTAACCCCTTCCTCCTCTGTGCCACACATAAGCTTCTATTACCTCCTACTGCATGACAGTGGATGCTGAGCTACCCGAGACTAGGCCCCATGCCTTACTCAGGGTTCTTCACTCCAGGCACATAGCAGCTGCCCAGCAATCTCTTGTGAGTTGATCTAAACATACCTCCACCCCTCCCATCCCCAGACACACACCAGCGATAGCCTCACAGCAGCCTGTTCTGTCCTGTGCAGGGGCTTTGAATCTCAGTGCTGCAACTGGGAAAGGCAAGAAGTAACCGGTGTCCACTGTCTTGGAATCATTTTACAACTGGGCTGGCACTTCCCTGCCCTGGAGTGGTGCAGACGGCCCCAGGTCTTAGCACTCACGACAGCCCCTCTGACTGACCCTGGTCTGCCAGTGCCGTGGGCTGGCTGGGGTTCTGAGACGTCAAAGCCTGAATGGGAGCCGGGAGCCTCTAGCCAGGCTGGATCCCTGTCCCTGTGTCCTGACTCCTGGGTGGCCAGGAAACTCCCCCACCTTGTGGTTTTGCCCACACCCTGGGCTCTGTCACCCCGTGGTACACAGCCTCACTCTCTGGGGACTCACCTTGCAGACCTGCTCTGCCACCAAGGCACCCGGCATTAAAGGACTTGTGTGGCTAAAAAGACTCACACCTGTAATCCCAGCACTTTGGGAGGCCAAGGCAGGCGGATCACGAGGTCCACAGATTGAGACCATCCTGGTCAACATGGTGAAACCCCGTCTCTACTAAAAATACAAAAATTAGCCAGGTGTGGTGGCGTGTGCCTGTAATCCCAGCTACTTGGGAGGCTGAGGCAGGAGAATCGCTTGAACCCAGGAGGTGGAGGTTGCAATGAGCTGAGATTGCACCACTGCACTCCAGCTTGGGTGACAAAGCAAGACTATGAGTCAGAAAAAAAAAAGAAAAAAAAAAGCTGGCAAGCAGGTGTCCTGCAAGCAGTTAGCACTGAGTCTAAGAGTGTTAGAGCGACCAGCTCTCTGCTCAAAGCAAGGGAAGGGAAAACATATGATACAAATACTAACCATGGTTCAGGCAGACAAACAGGGGTTGGGTTAGTATTGAATAATGTGTCCTGCAGCCCTGGAACCCTACACAGGCCTCTCACCTCCAGCCTCTGCCTCTGCCTCCAGTTCAAGTGCTGCGGAAGCAACAGCTCAGCCGACTGGCAGCGCAGCACATACATCCTGTCGCGGGAGGCCGAGGGCCGCTGGGTGCCTGACAGCTGCTGCAAGACAGTGGTGGTGCGCTGCGGCCGGCGGGCCCACCCCTCCAACATCTATAAGGTGGAGGTGAGCATCCAAGCTCAAGCTGGGGGTGACGAGAGGGCCCCAGCCTGGCCGTTCAGGAGCCCCCAAAAGGCAGATGGGTATGGGAAAAGCAGGACATACGTGCTCCTTGGCCATAAGCCCACAGTGCCTGGAGCTTTCCAGGGTCTCTACAAAGTCCTGGGACAAGCGACTCATACTGGAGAGTCTAGGACACCACAGCATGCCCCTGGGGCCATTCAAGTAGCCTCTGACCAATTCAGGGTTGGGTTCAGCCCATGAGTCCTCTGGCTTGTCCTCAGACTCTGCTGCAGTGACAGCCCGCCCTTCCTCCCTGCCCATCCTCGCTCCTGGCCCATGGCCACGTCACCTGCCCATCTCTTACAGGGAGGCTGCCTCACCAAGCTGGAGCAGTTCCTGGCCGACCACCTGCTGCTCATGGGGGCGGTGGGCATTGGGGTGGCCTGCCTGCAGGTGAGTTGCAGTGCAGGGACTGGTGGGGTGGAAGGACTTGGAACCCCTCTCCCATTGACAGAGGTCTTCAGTAACTGCCTGGGCTGAGCTAGCTGACCCTTTGCACACCTGTGCCCTACCCTGCTCTCTTCTCTCCCCTTCCCTCTGCAACTAAGGCTGAATCCCACGGTCAGTCTTTCCCCCAGGGAACATGAAGGAAGATACCTGGGGACAACATGAACTTGTCAGGAACAGGGACCTGGGAGGAGTGTGAGTGTGGGCTCAGGCATGTGCATGCACCCCGTGTGCACGCAGGGGTGAGTGTGTAAGCCATCTGTGCCACATGTGTCTGCATGCATCTGGGTCCATGTGGTTGGGGTTGTATGCACATATATGTGTTCAGGGTGCTTGTGCATGTGTGTGTGTGCACGTATCTGCATTTGTTCCTTTGTGTGTACGTATCTGCATTTGTTCCTTTGTGTGTGTGCATGTGTGTTTGTGTGTATGTAGTCAGTCCTCCAGGTCCATGGGTTCTGCATCGTGAATTCAACCAACTGTAGATAAAAAAATATCCCCCAAAAATGGACGACTACATTTGTCTACACTGAACAACCTTGTCATCATTCCCTGAGCAATGCAATGTACCAGCTATTTACATAGCATTTATACTGTATGAGGTATTATAAGTAGACTAAAGATGAGCTAAAGTATAATATATGGGAGGATGTGCATAGGTTATGTGCAAATATTGCACCATTTTATGTCAGGAACTTGAGCACCCATGGATTTTGGTGTCCAAGACAGTGACTCTGTGTGTGTGTGTGCACATGCACTCATCCAGCTGTCTCCCTGAGGATGAGCAATGTCTTTGGCTCCCATTTCTCCCTGTACTCTCCCTACTGGCTGCCTCCAAAGGAAATCAGGGTGACTCTGTCAGGTTGCGCTAGTCAAGAATCCGAAGGAGGGGAGCCAGGAGGGACTCCTCAGCAGCAAGGGCCCCTGCAGTCCCCACCTCAAGGGCACTCCTGCTTCCCCTCAGCAGGAGCTGAGTGTGGGCTGTCCTAGAGTCTTGCTGTCCTGCACAGCCCCTCCCACTCCAGGGCTGGGCACCGTCTAGAGAGGGGAGGAGCAGAGGCTTTGGCCTCAGAAGGCCTGGGTCCAGCCCTGGCTCTGCTCCTATGTAACTCTGAGCTACTTAACTTCCCTGTCCACTGACTTCTTCATCTGCATAATGTGGACCATTTCCCCAGCTCTTAAGGTCTGAAAACAAGGCGACGCCCATGACCCACTTACCAAGCACCTGGCAGGTAGGAGGGCCTCCACAAATGGAAGCTGTCTTTCTCCAGTTTTCTGTAGACTTCAGAGGATTTCTAATTCTTCCTCTCATTGGGTCCACACAACAACCTGAGATGCAGGCCAGACAAGGAGTAGTGTTCTTTGCTTTTTTTTTTTTTTTTTTTTTTTGAGACAGAGTCTTACACTGTTGCCTAGGCTGGAATATGGTGATATAATCTCAGCTCACTGCAACCTCTGCCTCCCAAGTTCAAGCAATTATCCTGCCTCAGCCTCCCAGGTAGCTGGGATTATAGGTGTGTACCACCACGCCAGCTAATTTTGTATTCTTAGTAGAGGCTGACGTTTTACCCTGTTGGCCAGGATGGTTTCAAACTATGCCCACCTCGGTCTCTCAAAGTGCTGGGATTGCAGGCATGAGCCATGGTGCCCAGCTGTTCTCCACATTTTACAAATCAGAAAGTTGAGACCCAGAGAGGTGACTTACCCAGGGCCCCACATCCTGAACCGGCACCCAGGTCTCCTGGCTTTGGCCCTTTGCTTTTTCAGACTCCCTACCACAACACAGAGGTCTGTGGGAAAGAGAAGCAGGGGACAGTGGCCTTGGCTGGCTTGGAGAAACTTCCAGTGCAGGGCCCTTGGAGACCATGGAGCCACCTACCCACATCGTCTGTGGGCCTGGAGCCCAGCTGCAGCCTGACACACTGGGAGGAGGGTCTGTCGCCTCTGGAGGGACACCCATCTTGGTTCTGCCACCTACAGCTGTGTGACCTAGGGCCAGTTCTTTCATCTCTGAGCCTCAGTTACTCATTTGTAAATGGGGCTGGTTACACCTCATCTGGTGGCTCGTGATGGGAATTAGCAACATCCATATAAATCACTTGGCTCATTGCTGAGCAGATAGCAGGTGTTCGATAAATCATATGCATAATCTTTATATTTCTGCATAAGCACATTATCTCAAAAATAAAAAAACCCTGTAGTTGTTCCTTGGCCAGGCCAGCCTTCTCCCCTTCATCCTCACTCACCTGCAGGGACAGGGAGCCCAGGTGGCATTAGCCTCGCCCCTCTTTTGGACTTCCCCAGGGCAGGCCTTCTGTCCCATGTGCTGAACCCCAGAGGAGTCACTACTGGGAACCGGAAGGGACACTCAGCAGCACAGGGCAGCTGAAGTTTCCAGAAGCCTGTTGCTCCAGGTGCTAGGGGCCTGCTCTGCATGGATACTGACCAGGCCTAGGCCACTCTGTCCATTTCTTCCCCACCTCTCTGGCCTCCAGAACCTGTAGAAGCTGCAAAGGCAGCGGAGCCAAGGGCAGGGCATGTGGCTACAGATGCCCGGGGCCGACGGTCACGGTAGACCGCGGCTGTGTAGGTCTGACGTTGAGGAGGTCAGGTTGTTGAGCAGTAGACCTGCAGGCCTGCCACGCCTCCTGCCCGCTCACAGCCCCCACCGTGCATTCTGTGTTCCTTCGCCGTTGCTGTGGAACAGCTTTTGGTGGCTCTGGACCTCTTGCCCAGTTTTCTCCTCTGCGACCCACTGAGCCAGCCCTGCAGCAGCCAAGCCTCGGGTTACAGCTCCCTCTGCCAGCCAACGCTGGGCACTACATTGCTCAGTCCCTGGTGGGCCATAAGCCTTGAGAAAGGGCTCATACCAGTGTCTTCCCCAGGGTCATAGTTTCCCTCTCAGCGAGCAGACACCAGGCATTTATCTCCCCTACCTACCCAGCCTGGCACTTCCAAGACCTTCAAGGCTGGGGACATATCACCCCAAGATGGTGTCATCATGTTCCCAGCTCCCAGCTACTGCAAGAAATCTTGCTTGGGAGTTACAGGGCCTGATTTCTAAACATAGCTCCACCTCCTGCTGTGTGACCTCAGGGAAATCACATTCCCTCTCTGAACCCTTAGTGTCCTTACCTGTAAAATGGACAGATTGGATATTTGTGAGCCTATTTTAAGCAGCAGCATCCTCATTTCAATGGAAGTCTCACATAGAGCCCCGTACATGAAGTATAGGAGGTGTCCCTGCTGTTCCAGGCAGGGACAAGCCTAGCATGACAGCCTCCCCTCACTGCTCCTCTTGGTGGCCCTGAGCTACACTAGGAGTTTCTGGTACAGCTTGAAAGCTGTGTGTTAGGCTGCAGCTGGGCTCCAGGCCCACAGACAATGTGGGTAGGTGGCACCATGGTCTCTAAGGACCCTGCACTGGAAGTCTTTCCAAGCCAGCCAAGGCCACTGTCCCCTGCTTCTCTTTCCCACAGTCCTCTGTGTTGTGGTAGGGAGGTTGGGAAAGCAAAGGACCAAAGCCAGAGGACCGGTTCAGGGTGTGAGACCCTGGGTAAGTCACCTCTCTGGGTCTCAACTTTCTGATTTGTAAAATGTGGAGAACAGCTGGGCGCCATTTCTGGGAACCTTCTGGATCTCACGTGCTATAATTTTTCAGTAAGGCTCCCGTCTCAGGAACCGATGACCTTGAGACTGACGTCCTGCAGCACCTGGAATGTTAGAGCAGATGGTTCGTGAACACTGAAAACTAAGCAGAATGTTTAGTGAAGGCAGTACACCTTGATTTCAGCCAGGCATCTGGCAATGCATCACTTGTTGCCTCGAGGACGTGTGGACCAGGCACTTGTATGCTCTGGAGAAATCGGGGCAGGCTGGATGACCACACTGTGAGAGGGAGAGGAGAGCGCTCACGCCAGCCTGGCAAAAGGTCTCCAGGAGCGGGCCATGGCCTTCAGCCTCAGGCCTGTCTCTTCAACATTTTTCTTGGTGATCTCAGCAAAGACCCAGAAAGCACGCTAAACTATTTACATAGCATGTCTGTTCTGTCGCATGATAAAGCCAGCATTGATAAAAGAGCTTGTTGGACATGAAGACATGCTGAAACGAAGGGTAAAACATTTAACAGAGTTAAAGTCCTTGCATTTGAGCTTTGTTTTGTTTTGCATTAAAGCCTGTAACAGAGTGGGGGCCTCTGCCTGAGTTACAGGATAGGGTGCTGCCCACAGAGATGTGGCCTGGAGCTGCATTGGTGGAAATCGTGGAGAGAGCCGGGGGTGGGGCTGCTGGCTCAGGCCACCCTCCAGGTGGGACCAGACCTCTGCAGAGCCCCCAGGGAGGGGTCCTCAACCTTGGCCGCACATTGGGATCACCTGACAAGCTTTAAAACCACCCCAGGCCTGGGCTGCCCCCAGCAAAATGAAACAAAATGGTCTGGGGCTGGCACCCGGGTATCCGTGTCTTTGTGAAGCTCTCTAGTGATTCCACTGTGTGGCCAGAGGCAGAGGGAGTGGCAAGGGATGTGTGGGGCTGGGAAGTCAGATGTGCGAGAGGGCAGAAGACGGGGAGCACACGCAGCACCCTCATGGTCTCGAAACACCCAAGGCAGCCATGTGGGGAAGGGAGGGACTTCCTGGGAGGTTCCAGAGGACAGAAGGGAAACAGTCGGTGGAATTCTTTTCAAGGAGACACATTCAAGAACTTTTGAACAATTGGAATTGCTAAACAGTGGCCCTTGCAGACTACTACACTCTCTGTGGCTACAGGCTGGGGCAGAGGCTGGGGGCCGGCAGGGATGCTGAGGGGCAGTCCCCGCACTTGATGGGCAGAGGCCCCTCCACACAGAGGTTCTGCATTCTGGGAGTGCACCTATCCCCTCAGCAGGGGCCCCCCACGCTTCTCACTCACCTCAGTCATGGAACAGTACCCAAAGGCAGTTCCAGACCTGGACAGGTTCATCGCAGTGCTGAGGTACCCCCTGACCCCCGCCGGTCCGACTATGCCACCTGAAAAGGCCTGACAGACTACCTGGACCAGTGCTGCTGGTCCTGGCTTGCATGCTAGAATGGAATCATATAATACATATAATTATACAATTATATACTAGAATAAAATACCACTGTATTTTATTCTACAATAGAATTAAATACCATTGCAGCCAGGTGCAGTGGCTCATGCCTGCAATCCCAGCACTTTGGGAGGCCGAGGCGATCAGATCACAAGGTCAGGAGATCAAGACCATCCTGGCTAACACAGTGAAACCTCGTCTCTACTAAAAATACAAAATATTAGCCAGGTGTGGTGGCACATGCCTGTAATCCCAGCTACTCGGGAGGCTAAAGCAGGAGAATTGCTTGAACCCAGGAGACGGAGGTTGCAGTGAGCCAAGATTGTGCCCCTGCACTCCAGCATGGGTGACAGAGCAAGACTCCATCTCAAAAAAAAAAACCAAAAAAACCCATTGCTCCGGCCCCCCACAAACTGGCTCAGATTGTCTGGGCTGAGGTCTGTGCACACGTATTTTTAAACCTCCTAGGTGGGTCAAATGTGCATTTGGGGTTCAGAGCCCCTGGGCTCATCTTATTCATACACATTTGAGGACATCAAGCCCCACCACAAGTCACCTGCTGAAGGTGACACAGCTGCTGTGGCAGAGTGGCCAGGCCTCCAGCTCACAGGCCTGCTTCCTCCACACCAGCTTCCTCTCTTGTGGGTGGACTCTGGGGGCACTCCACTTTGAGGTAACTTTAGAAGCTAATTTCTAGAATATTCTAGCTGGGGAATATTTTACTAAAAATGTCACAGTAGCCCAGCCCTTTTCCTGCTGCCCTCCTCATATCAGCGTCCTGGGAGCCTCCGCCCACAGCCTGCAGAGGAGGCTGAGGGGCCCATGCTCGTGTTTACTCTGGAGCAGAGCTGCCATGTGCTAGGTGCTGTGGCCAGTGCTGGGGCCCCATTGCAGGCAGGGTGCCATCCCTTCTCCCAGGGAGCTTTTGCTTGAAGGAAGGGGACAGATAAGTGTGTGGCAGTCACAGTGCAGTGCTAGGTGTTAGCAGGAGCGCTGGGGTTTAGGAAGCAAACATCAGTGGCCCTAGCCAGTCACGGGAGGTCAGGGAGGGCTTCCTGGAGGAAGTGCCATCTCATTCAGTCCTGAAGGAGCCCAATAGGAAGTGACAGAGGGGAAAGCCAGGGTGAGAGAATAGCATGTGCAAGCCCCGGCTTGCAGGCAAGGCAAGGAGCGGGGGCTTTATCCTGAGGGCCCCAGGAAGCCACTGCCTGGCCTCTCAAAGGACTGGGATGCTGGAAGGACTGGGTGCTGTGCTGTTGGTACCTGTTATTCTAATTTTTAAAGAATCTCACCAAGGAACACCCTAGACCAGTGTAGAAACCAGATGTTTTCCTATCGGCGGAGGGGGGTTTGAGGCTGAGAGAGAGATAACTGTACCCAAGCTCACATAGGCCATTGGTGCAGCATCGAATAGAACTCAGCCCACCTCCAACATGCTCACCTTGCAAGATGGAAACAGTCTCAGAGCATAGAATACTCACAAGATAGTCAAGACTGGGGCCTGCAAGTCATTAAAAGGGAAACCAAGCAATCATCTTGGAAGGACTCCCCAGAAGCTCCCTGGCCCTCCCTTCATGCTCTCTGCTGACAGCCAGGTGCTGTCAGAAGTGTCAGAGGAAGCTGAAGGCACACGGCCTCCCTGTTAAAAATGTCCTATGTGTGGCCAAGTGCCACACACAGGCAGCTGCCAGAAGACAGCACCTGACACCGTGCCGGCTGGACCCACAAGCCTACCCCTGCCCCGTCTGCCACCTTCAGCACCTGCAGTTAGCTGGCGTTGTGTTGTCTCTGCGTGCCCCCTGCTGGAGCCACCCGTGCTGGTTTCTCAGTGTCCTCTGTCAGGAGGGAGACGGCGCTTATTCTGGAACCACACTGGGTGGCATCCCGTATCCCTCCACATGTTTCTGCATGGGGGTGTGCATGTGGACACAGTGATGAGGGTCTGGCCCACTCACCTCTCCCCCTTACTGTGCCTGTCCTGGGAGGCTCCCTAGGAACACCCAGCTCATGCAGGAGCCTGTCTGCTGGAGAGCTTGGCCCTTCCCTCCCCCAGCAGGAGACGTACATGGCAGGTGGTACAGCCGTGGTTTCCAGCATAAATCTGTGCCGGCGAAACAGCCCCCTCTGGCCTCCCACTTAGCACAGATTAGATTCAGAAAGCCCCACAGGAAAATCATCAAACCATGAGGCAGGGACAGGGAAAGAGAACGCGCTGCACCACACCTGCATGGGTGGAACGGCATGACCGCCGCCCGCTTAAAGCTGGTAGGCGATGAGAAAACCTAAGCCGCCTTTCAGCCTGAGGCCCCAGGTGAATTGACACCATGTCTGCAGGCTGAAAGCAGTGTTCATGCCCCGTGCTGTCCTCCAGGTTGGGAGGGACAGAGAGGAGGAAGGCGGGGAAGAGGATAGGCCCCTTCTGCACTTCTTCTCCCAGCTAGCCTGTCAGAGGCTGGGTACCGGACACACGCAACTACACCAGCCTGCTCGCCTCCTGCTAGGTAGAGCTCCAACTGCATCCAAGTTTGCACCGACAAGGTCAGGGCAGCAGCAGCTGCTAGGAAAGACAGGAAACTGCCTCAATACTTAAGGGAGCCACCTTCACCCCAGGTACCACAGACAGTCATGCGGCTGCTCTAGGCCAGTGCCCTTCTCCTGTGTGCAGAGAGCTGAGATCCAAAACCATGTCATCGTCATCAGCAGGATCATAATCACATCACCCTCAATGCATCCTTGGGTGGGAGGGAGGAGAGGAAGAGGAGGAAGGTGGCAGAGGAGAGCCCATGAAGGGCAAGGTGAGAGAACAAAGCTCCTCTGCGTTCTGGAAGTGGAAAAAGTGAAAAGGGGTATGTGGGGTGATCCTCCCAGGCCTGCATGTGCTTTGGACTGGATGCTCCAGCCCCTCCTTGTTCAGCCTGTGGATACCAACAGAAGGGCTGGCAGACAGGACTCTCGGGGCCTGGGCGTTTTGCTGCATTCTAGGCTGATTGACAGGGTGAGCTCGCCAGCTCTATCATTCTACACTGACAGACTGGGTGACAGCTCAAGGGGCTCCTCCCAGAGTCTCAGTTTCCCCCATGGCTCCCGTACACCAACCAAAGCATCAAGGATGGACCTGAGTTTATCTTTGGAGTCCAAAAACAGCAAAACACAGGCAGACTCTTTCCTAGAGAGACAGTCTGCTTCAGACAGTTCTGATGAGGGAGTGTAGACGTTACTCTTAGGGTCTAATTAAATCAGGCCATCTCTGGAGAAGATGGAGGACCACAGACCAGCAGCAGCAACTGGGAGCTTGCTAGGAATGCAGACTCTCAGGCTGCCACCCAGGCCTGCAGACTTGGAATAAGGAGGTCCCCAGGTGACACATGCCCATGAAAGGGTGGAAGCCCTGCTCTTGGAGAGTACCTGGCAGATTGTGGTTCCCCCACGCCCATCGCCATCACCCAGGAGCTTGTCAGAAATGCAGAACCTCAGGCCCAGCCCTTTGAGCAGGAATCTGCCCTTTGTCCAGGCCCCAGGGATTTGAGCGAGCAGCACTGCTCCAGGGCCCTGAAGGCCAGCAGCTTCCAGGAGTTCTGATTTATCTTTGCTCCTCTGCTCTCTCCACCCGGCAGATCTGCGGGATGGTTCTCACCTGCTGCTTGCACCGGAGGCTCCAGCGGCATTTTTACTGATGGCCAACCACCTCCTCTTCCAACTGCCCTACAGGAGGACAGGTGGCTGCATGCCATCCGCAACGCCTACAGAGTTAGCACCAGCTCCACTAGGGCCATAGATGCCCCCTCCTCTGTGCCCAGCATCTACAAATCCACCAAGTGCCTAAGACCATAGCTTCTACTGTGCCCACCCAGGCAGGGACCCTCGGACCCCTCTCCTCCACTTCTGAGCTCCCATGGCCAGATCCTGGGCAGGGAAATGATCCTTTCAGGAGACAACCAGAGCTCCGCACCAGGCACAGGGACACTGTGGACTAGGGAAGGTTGACAGTTGGGCTCTTTGCTCCCTCCCAGCTCTTGAACCTGGAACAATGGGCAGAAAACCCAGGTCTCCCAGGTTTTCAGCACTGGATTCCCCCACCCATGCTCAAAAGCCCTGACCTTGCTGATTCTGGAAGATGCATGGGGTGGGGCAGGGAGGGCTGGTGTTTCCTCCAGAAGACCTTGCTCTTTGACCTGCCCACTGTCCATACTGCCTCACCTGGAAAGCCATGTCCTGCTGGCCTCACTCTTTCCTGCAGGGCCTGGGAGTGGGGAGACCTGGGTAGGGCAGCCACAGGCTAGGTGGAGTTGCTCTGGCAGGGAGCGGGGGTAAGGTGGCCACACCAGCACATGCTGCAATAGGAGCAGAGCCCTGTGCCTGCCTAGCAACCTTCCTGGGAGAACCCCCTTGGGGAGACCCTGGCCCCAAGCCCTGACCTCTAGGGACATGCCCCCCAGAGGGATCTCCTGTTCCAGGGCCTGATTCTCAGGAACATCAGGTTTTTAAACCATCTTCAGCACCTAATGCTGGTGGGTGTCAAGCATTTCCTGGAGTGGACCAACTCATGACCCTTTAAAGTCGCAGCCACTGAGAAAGGGCAGCTCTGAGTAGAGGGGTGTCTGCCTGAGCCTCACCCTTCCTGGGGCCCTCTCCTTACCCTGTGGCCACCAGCACTCTGCTTCCCCTCCCACCCGTCCTGGAGTGAACAGAGCTTTTGTCTTGGGTTCTCTCTTGCATCACTAAATTCAGCAGGGAATTTTTCAGTAAGAACGTTCCCCAGTGCTAAGGGAGAGCAGAAAGCAAACCCTGGAAAATACAGAGTATCCATGCTGGAAGTTTTCCAGAGAACAGGTGTCAACTTGTACAACACCCATAGGGATCCCCCCAAAATGGCTGTTACAAGGGGGCACCCCATTACACTAAAACCCCTTGCCTGGCTTCCACCCTCCCCAGGTCCTGCACTTCTTCCCAGGGCAGGACCCTCTTTCATCCCCCCTACGAAGGGAGCCACCTTGTTGTGCTACCACCAAGGCGGAGAGAGACCCCAGCTCGTCTCCCTACATGATCCAGCTCACACCGTGATGAGCACGTTGCTGACCTAGGCCAATCCTGGGGGAGGGGTGCTCTCTCTCACATACATAGGATTGGCCTCAAGGCCACCCAGTGCTGACTGCAACAGGGCCCTGAACTGCATCCTCAGCATAGGAAGTACCCACATGGACAGAGGGAAGCCCAGCCGCAGGGCCAGTTGCCTCCTCTTCTCTGGGTATTCTCCAGTGGCTTCTTGGAGTCTAGGCTGGTTTAACTCCCCTGCCTAAAAGACCCTGGAGTTGCTGATGCAAATCCATTAAAAGGAAGACCAGATACCCCAGACTGCAGGAGGCCAAGCGAAGTGGCGTAGCGCGTGATTAGCTTTGCCGCCCTCCCACCTCCTGGGAGTCGTGCAGGTAATCAAAAATCAACTGTGACTCCCAAGCTCTCTGAAGGGCGAGATCACAACAGATAAGTCTTATTACAGAGGGAGAGTGGAGAGAGAGAGAGACGGTACTGGGCTAGAGCCATGTTCTTCCTGGCGGGGTGTCAGGGGAGGCAGCCATGAGCAGGGGGTGCTGGGGCCTTATCTGTCTGCCACGGTGGGGAAGAGAGACAGGTGGCAGGCAAGTGCCCTGTGCACAGCCCTGTCACTGAGGGCAGGCCCAGGAGAGCTGCCCCATCTGCCCCAGCCCCATGTGATGGTTGGGCCAGCCTGACTAGGGCAGGATTAGCTGCTTCCTGCCTTGTGTCATCCAGCCAGACTGCCACTTGGAGGATGGCTGGTCCAAGCTGCAAACAGTGGCAGAACCACCCAGGGCTTCTTGGAGATCTGACCACCTCGTCCATGCCAACAGCCTGGGAGATGAGACAAGGTTAGAGGAAATGGAGGCCCAGGATAGGGCAGGTTCTGCCTGGGAGTGCACAGCAGCTGGAGCCTGGACTCAAGGATGCAGCCCCCAGCAGGGTGTGCCCCTCCTGCTGACGAGGGCACAGATCGGGGCCCAGGTCAGTTCCTCCCACGCCCCTGCTTGGAGGCTGGCAGTCTTGAGAGAGAGAAGACATGCCTGTGGAACGTCACCATCAGTCCTCTGCAGGCTGCTGCACACTGGGCCCCAGGAAAGCAGCATTAGGTGCTGGGATGCCACCCAGCTGGCACGGGCATGTCCTCGCCCTGCACACACCATGCTGCCCTTTCCTAAGCTCGCAGGGGCAGATGCCAAGAGATAAGGGCATGTCCACAGGTCCCCCCGGGTGACGTGCATCAGGATGGGAGGCAGGAAGGAAACGCGGCCTTGGCTGAAGGGATGGGACGTGTGTGCCCATTCTCTTTTTCCCTCCTGCTTCCCCGGCACGCTAACCCCATCTCCAGGAGCCCCTCAGGCAGATAAGTGGGGAGCGTGTCCGGGGATTTTTTGTGTTTATCAAGGGCCTGCTGTGCACTTAGAATCTGTCACCATACTTATCTTGCAGTTACCCCAATAAGAGGGTGACTTCTCCCATTTTATAAATGAGGAAATTAAGTCTGGGCAAAGTTAAGACTTGTCAGTGGTAATGGCTGTTGTCTTGCCACCCCCGGAGAAGGAAGGAAAGCTGGGCCAGGAGCCCCTCTCCTCAGTGTCCCACAGTTTTCCATCTCTGTAATGAGCCATTGGGCTGTCATTAAGGAACAAAGTGTCACTCAGGGGGCACTGTCACATAGCAGCCACCACCATAACTCCTTCACATGTGCCAAGGGTTCAGAAGCCTGGCTCATTCAGGCTGACAGCTGGGCCCCCAGGTGCAGGGGCTCAGGCAGCAGGCAGGAGCCCAAGGGGCCAAGGCCCATAACAGCCACCCAGCCCATCACTCCAGGTGCCAACAATGACCCCAAAGTGAGAGCAGAGACTGTCCCTCAGCCCTCAGAACATTCGTGCAGGGTGTGGACTGTCATGTCCATGTGGAGATCTCCCCTCAGGCCACACCCACTCCCAGAGCCACCCTGGGAAGGGAGGGGCATGCTGGGGGTGTGTTGACCACCTCCCTTCAGGTGAGGCCCTTCTCTGCCTTATTTCTAACCCCTGCATGGAGCACCTGCTGTTGCTGGGGCTCTGGGGTGGACCCTATGTGATTTCTGTTGGGGAGCTTGCGCTGTGCACAGCCAGAGGGCCCAGCATGGCCCTGTGGGGTGTGGGGGGAATATGGGAGTTCACTGTGATGTGGCTCGGGGCCCTCCTGCTCCAGCTTTGGTTTCAGAATCTGCTACTTGGGCCCCGCTTCAGGGTCTTGAGGCTGGAGACGTGAGTTGGAACAGCCATTGTCATCACCACCCACGCTGCCACCACTTAGAAAACATTCTTGATGTACTGGCCACCCTGGGCCTGAGTCTTTTGCATGGCTGCTGTGCCGGGCTCACATCCGCTGAGGGTATAGTGACCAAGCGTCTAAACCAGTCATTCTCAAACTTGGCTGAGCATCAGAATCACCTGGAAGGGCTTTTCCAAACAGATTGCTGGCCCTACCCCCAGAGTTTCTCATCAGGAGGGGCAGGGCCAACATTTGTATTTCTAACAAGTTCCCTGGAGCTGCAGCTGATGGCCCTGGAACCACATTTTGAGAACCGCTGCTTTAGACCAAACCCCAAAGGAAGATGCAGCCACCCTCCTTTGTATGTCACAGCGCTCAGGGTTCACAAGTCCCTTGGGTTCTCCAGCTGAGCTCCACCTGCAGCAGCTGAGATTCCCAACTCACTCCACCCCTGGGGGTTGGGAGTGAAGCACGTCACCATGATCAGCTCACCACCTGCCAGGAAAGCCTCTCTGCAGTGCATCTGTTCAGGCACTGCTCTTCCTGGAGGACTCTCAGATGGTCTGTGATCTTGGCCAGGAGACCAGGTGCCTGGGTCCCTTCCTGGAAGGGGACAAGTTACATATCCCAGCCCGGTTTTCCCACCACCTTCTATGTGCCTTGGGAGAACCTGCTGCATTTTGGCTGCTCCCTTCCCCTATTTCAGCTGTGCCCAGCCCTGCTTAGAAACCTGAGGCCTGCTCCCCATGCCCTACCCTGTGTAAGTGCCAGGCCTCATTCCAGGTAGCCTGATGTTGGTGAGGCCAGATGGGCTCCTGGAACCAGCTCTCCCATGGACATGGGTCATCACGGTATCCTAGAAACAGAGACGATGCCTAACCTAGTGCCTACAGAGAAATTGTTCTCCTTGTAAACATACCCCTGTCCTTAGCTGATCTCAGTGGAAGCCCAGCTTCGTGTGCTAGGGGGCATGATAATGATAATAAAGGAATTATATCTAGCACTACCTTCTGTTGATTTTTTTTTTCTCCTCTGCAAGGAACTCCCAGGCCATCAGTTCATCAAATGTACCACTACCCACTGCTACATCGTGAAGCTGCTCTTAGCCACGGCTCCCCTATGAGGAAATCATTGGCCACATTGGATAGGGTCCTGCTTACCCTTCTTTTGTCAGCCCTCATCACTGATGTGTTTGAACTGACTTCTCCTGTTCAAAAGTGTTATTAGCTGCTGGCTGCAACGGAGAGCCAGGCTCAAATATGTGTACTTAAATTGTGTTCCTCTTCAGGCTTTCTCAGTCCATGTTTTCATACCATTTACCTTGATGCACCACCAGCCTCTGTTCATGAGCCTGCAGTGAGCTCTTCCCACTGCAGGTGTCACCCTCTGCTTGGCTGCAGCAGATGCAGTGTGTGGCAAGAAGTCAGGAGCAAGGGGGCTCCGTCTGGTGAGACACACACTCCTGCCCCCAAGACTATCTCACTCCACTGTGACAGGGTTTCTCCACCATGTACCAGCTGATTTGTCCTCATCCCCAGACCTGGAGTTGGACATGTTTTCTTTGCAAATGCAGAAAGATGAGTCTTTGCTGAGGGGACTAGTTGCCCAGTCCAGAGCTAAAAGGAAGTACATGCTTTTGTCTATGATATAAAATGCTCATATTATTTCATTCACTATTCTGTCTAGAAAACTTGCTTGAAAGGTAATGTATTCATCTGTATTCACACTGCTAAAATGGACTAACTGAGAGTGGGTAATTTATAAAGAGAAGAGGTGTAATTGACTCACAGTTGCACAGGCTTAACAGGAAGCATGGCTGGGAGGCCTTAGGACACTTACGATAATGGCAGATAGCAAAGGGGAAGCAGGCACCTTCCTCACATGGTGGCAGGAGAGAGAGAGAGTGTAAGGGGGGAGGTGCCACACACTTTTAAACAACCAGATCTCATGAGAACTCCCCATCACGAGAACAAGGGGGAAGTTTGCCCCCATGAGCCAATCACCTCCCACCAGGCCCCTGCCTCAACACTGGGAATTACAATTTGACATTTAGGGGACACAGAGCCAAACCGTATCAGGCGGTGAGAAGCCTGAAGAGCACTCGAGTAGTCTGGGCTCGGGGGGATCCCCAGACAGAGGGATGGGGGTGGTCAGGGAGGCAGCTGAGGGCTGACCCACACGGCTGCTGTGAAACCAAGTCCCTGCCACTTGCGATGTAAGCACATTGATCCACCCAGGGAGGTCCCCAGGCAGGGACACATTTTGCAGGGGAGCTCTAGCCACTCACTCTGCTGTGTCTGCAGGGCCTCTTTGGTCAAGGTCCAGTTGTTCACAGAACAGTCGTAGCAGTGGCCTTCTGACTGTTTGGATGTTGGACAGGGGAATGGAGCCAGCCGGGGGCATGCTCACGGTCATCTCTGCCATTGGAGCGGGTTGCCTGCTCCCCTCCACCATCGCTATGAGCGTGCGTGTGCACGTGCACGTGCAAATCATCCAACACAAACATACCAAGGAGAGACAAGTCCCCTCCAGGCCCTTTCCTGCTGCAAAGAGGCAGCACCGTTGCTGGTTTACAACTGCTGCCTACACAGCCCCAACAGCCAACAAGGGCCTTGTCAGCCAGGCAGCCAGCACGATGCCATTGCTGAAGCTGTGCCTTTGGTGGCTGCTGGCTGGCCTGCCAGCTGCCACTACTTCCCAGCAAGTGCTGATGCCTCATGTCAGCCCCAAGGACCAAGTTATCATTGCTGCCCCTGGGTGGGGACCCTGGTTCCCACTCCCTCTCCACAACTCAACAGAGAAACTGCCCATGGGAGGAGAGGACATGGGGCAAAGAGCATTTTCTTCTTAAAAGCAAATACATGAGAAGCCCCTACTTCCTTCTCCCTCTGGCTTCTGTCTCCAGCTGAAACCCTGTCTGGCAGTGACTTGAGCAGAAAGGGGAGGATCCTGCCAGGCACCTGGTGGGAGCCTTTGCATCAGGCCAGAGGACAAGAGGGAAAGAGTGAAGCAGGAATCCAGCCCTTTCCATCAGCAAGGTACAAACAACGTCACTGCACTAAGGACATTAACAAAGCCAGCCAGAGGCAAGAAGGTTAACATTCCCACAGTGGGGACGAGGAGCAACTTCCACTGGACTTTCAAACACACTGTAGTCCATGAAGCCCGAATTCTACTTTAGAGAGCCCTGAGTTAGGGGCCAGCGGTCAAATTCAATATGCTCTCCCCAAGTTACCCATTGATAAATAAGAACGCTGGGTCATTTTAGGAACCAGGGTCTCTTGCTAGAGAAAAGAAATATGTTGAGAATATACAGATGGACCTCAACTTATGAAGGCTACCTCTTGATAAATACATTTTAAGTTAAAAATACTGTGACTGGGTTAGACGTGGGGGCTCACACCTGTCATTCAACACTTTGGGAAGCTGAGGCAGGAGGATTGCTTGAGTCTAGAAGTTCCAGCCTGGACAACATAAGGAGACCCTACTTTTACAAAAACAAAACAAAAAACAAAACAAAACAAAACAAAACAAAAAAAAACGAAATTGGCCAGACATGGTGGCACACACCTGTGGTCCCAGCTGCTATGGAGGCTGAGGTAGAAGGATTGCTTGAGCCCAGGAGATCAAGGCTT